GCGCCCGTCGCGCGCGAAACGACCTAGCAGCCTCTCGCCGAGCTGGGGTGCCCCGCGAGAAAGCCCGGGCGGCGCGGACGCGGGCCGCAGGGAGGGAGGAGGGAGGGGGAAGGAAGGAATGAGGAGCGAGGGCGGCGACGACGATGACGACGACGATGACGACAACGATGACGACGACAACGACGACGACGACGACGGCGACGACGCTGGCGACGGCGACGGCGACGGCGACGGCGACGCTGCTGCTGCTGCTGCTGCTGCTGCTGTTACTGCTGCTGCTGCTGCTGAGGAGGAGGAGGAGGAGGAGGAGGAGGAAGAGGAGGAGGAGAAGGAGGAGGAGGCGGTGGTTCTCCGCGGGCGGGTGAGACCGTCTTCGTGGGCGGCATGCCACGTCGATCCGCTTCTTTGCCGTGCTGGATCCTCTGGGCGCGCGCGTCGGCTGGGGTGCGACGACTGCGCCATGCTGCGCATGCGGCTGCCGAACCAGGAAGTATAGAGGGAGAGGAATGAGCGAGCGCGGGTAGATATTGTAGCTACAAGAGGAGGACCCATGGCGAGGAATGACAGAGGAGAAGGTAGGCGGAGGGAGGAGGATGGAGTGGGAGTGAGCGGGAGGAGGGAGCAGGATGATCGATGATGATGATGCTGCTGCTGATGCTGATGATAACCGTGATCATGATGAGGATACTGGTGACAATGCTGATGATGATGGCGATGACGATGATGCTGATGATGATGATGGTGGTGGTGGTGATGGTGATGATGTTGATGAGGATGATGATGCTGATGATGATGATGCTGATTCTGCCGATGATGGTCGTGGTATGGGTAATGATAATTCTGATCATGATGTTGCTGCACTGACGATGATGATGAGGAGGATCGTCGGCGGATCAGCAAGACCACCATGTCGGAGTTTTTGTGAGCGCGAGGGACGCCAGCACTTTCGGCGGGGTACAGGCCTGTCCTCCACTGCACCTCTCTCTCTCTCTTTGTCTCGCTCTCTCTCTCTCTCTCGCTCTCTCCTTCTCTCTCTCTCTTGCAGGGTGAGGTGTGCGCAGGCAGGCATTGAGCTTCGAAGATGGCAGGGCAGTCCTTCCCCCTGTGCCCCTCGGACCCTCCGCCACGACAGAGTCGTGACGGCCTGTTTGCGCCTCACGTTGGGCCCGTGGGGACCCGTGTCGGCCCCTGGGACAGTCGCAAGACCGCCTGGGACTGGATCGAAGAACGAAATCAACGACACACGCATAACTCTCGATGGGCCGCGCGGATTTCTCGGATCGGCGCCAGACCCCCCCCCCCTCGCCGGTGCCTCCAGCGCCGCCCCTGGCGCGCTTCGCGCGCCGCGCGGACCCAAGCAATCCGCGCGGCTTTCAGATTTTTTGTTTGTTTGTCTGTCCTCCAAACAGTGCTGGCCCTCCGATTTTGTGTTTGTCTGTTCTCCACACAGTGCCTGCACGAATAGCAGTTCGTACTCCTGTACCTTGAATTTATGGGATGGGCCAGCCGAGGTTTCGCCTGATGCCGGGATGGTGCGCGCTCGTGGGGGGGGGGCGCCTCGTGCTGGGCGGGCCAGCCGAGGTTGCGCCTGGTGCCCGCCCGTGGGCGCCTCGCTGCTGTCTCGCTTGCTCGTCGAACGGCCGGTCCCGGGGCCGATGGTCGGGAGGCCGGGAGGCCTGCGCCCCGAAGAGGTCGTCGCGCCTGCTGTGCGGGCGCACCGCGCCACGAGGCGAGGCCCGCGGGCTCCCGGCGTCGGCGTGGCGGGGCGCTTGGCAGGGCTGCTCGCGGTCCGATCCCATCCCGAACGAATTCCGATCTCGGTCCGATCCGGCACGGGCCGATTCCCGCCGCTCCGGCCTGCAGCAGGGGCCGAGTACGGTCCGCAGGATTTTGAAAGTTGTCCGACCCTGGCCCGAGTCCGCGGCGAGTCGGGCGCGTCCGATCCGATCAGATTTCCTGACTTCGATGCTTCAGGATGCAACTCCTGAGAAGTCAGATCCAGCATCGGCGCTGGTATATCCGTGGTGAAAAAATCGGCCCAATCCAGCTTAATCCCCCGCTCTGGCCGATTCCACCGCTCTGGCCGATTCTCCCGCTCCAGCCGAGCCCAGTCCGCGAGATCCCAGATGTTGTCCGACCCTGGCCCTATTTCGCGGCGAGTCGGGCGCGATATAATCTGTTTTTGATCCGATCCGATTTCCCAGCGTCGATGCTTCAGGATGCAACTCCTGGGATGTGAAGTCCAGCATCGGCGCTGGTAGATCCGCGGTCAAAGCTCGGCCTAATCCAGCAAAGTCCCGACTCATTTCGCTTAGTCCCGCTCAGCCCGACTGAATACGGCGTATGCCTGGGCTTAGAAAACCTGGGTTACTCCGGCTCAATGGCCCTTGTAATCTGGCCCAATAGCCCGTGATCGTCCTTATGAAAGCTTCCCAGGAGTTGCCTACTAAGATGCGGACTGATCCTGCCAGGTCTCCGGCCGTGATCAGCTCCGGCGCGCCGTTTGGCCGCTTCGCGCCCAAGTCTCATGCGCCGCTCGCCGGGCGCTCCAGTCAACCAGCCACCCACCCATCCACCAGCCACTACCCACCACCCACCATTATCCATACCCAGACGCAACCAACCCCCCATCCCGCCCCATCCCACTCAAACGCTACTCTCGGAGCCATTTTGAGGCCTCGGAGGGCCATCAGAAGCGAAAGGGTGAGAAGGCACGCAAGTCTTGTAGCTTTTGAATGATTTTGGCCTTTAGGCGGCTTCCTTCGGGGGCTCTGTGGCCTCTTGGACCAGTCTTGAGCGGTCTTGGAGCCTTTTGAAGCATCATGGAAGCATGGAAGCCATATTGAGCCATCTTTGAGGCCATGCTGAGCTCACTGAGGCCCTTTTGGAGCCATCTTGGACATTTTGGAAGCTGCAACGACCCGCGAACCCCTCCACTCTGGACCCAGGGTAAGGGGGTAAGGGGAGGGGTCAAGACACCTCTCCCAGACTCAAACTGTTTGGCTCACTCCCAGCCGCCCTCCCAGCACACAAATTTCAGTTACCCGAGTCTCAGCATATTCAGTGGTTGCCTTTGGATGGTTAGCTACTGGAATCAATACAGACCCTGGGGCCCGAGCGTGGCAGCCACGCCTAGTGCGCCAGATGCGCCACGTGCACCATGCGCGCCAAGCGCGCTGCACGCTCCAGCCGTGCCAGGTGCGCCACGTTCAGGGCACGCGCAGAATGCGCCTGGTGCGCCCGCGCACATCTCGAAGACCAGTGCGCAATGGCGGCGGAGTGGCCATCATGATGTCTGGTGGGCCTGCACACGGCAGGCACTACATGTCAACAGCCCCGCTGTCCTTGTCAAAATCGGATGCGAAGTGACCGCGGGGTGCCCGCGCGTGATCCAGATTTTGCCGCGAAGTGCATTCTGCATGGCTTTTGAAAGTGATGGTGGCCCTGCCCACAGCATGCCACATGCTGGCACCCCCTCCCGCCGTCCCTTTAACAAACCAAAGGGCTCCAGGGGCCCACGAACATGACTCAAGATTTTGCCGCACAGAGCGCTTTGCACCGTGCCTGGGTTGTGGGTCCGAGTCCTCAGGGATGCTTCTTCGGGTCTCTTCGGGGCGCTCTCGAGGGCCTCTGGGGAGCGGTTTTGGGGCCTCGTAGGGGCCTCTGGAGGGCCTCTCGGGCTCTTGGGGCCTCTTGGTGTCTCTCGGTGCCTCTTGGGGGCCTCTTGGGTGCCTCTTGGAGGCCTCTTGGGGGCCTCCTGGGGACCTCTCTGGGCCGAGGGCTCGAAATGTCCGTTCGGGTCCCCCATCCGGGCTCCCTTTCGGAGCCGCCTTGGGGGCCTCTTGGGCCGCCTTGAAAGCCTCTTGGGCCGTTTTGGGTCCCCCTTGGGCTGTTTTGGGGTCCTTTTCGAGGCCTCTTCGGCTGTCTTGGGGCGATCTTGGGGGCCTCTTGGGCCGTCTTGGAGCGTCGGGAAGCCGAAAAGGCGAGAACGCCAAACTCAGTCAAACATTTAAGGACATGCATGACTCTTGCCTCTTGAGGCCCTCATGGGAGTGCTCTTGGAGGCCTCTTAGGGTGTCTTTGAAGCCTCTTGGCCCGACTGGAGGCCATCCAGGGCTTCTTGGAGCGATCTTTCGGCGATTCTGTGCCCTACTGGACCGTCTGGGCGGCCTCTCGGGGCTTTCTTGATCCATTGGAGGCCCTCCTGAGCGAGGGGACCGTCCCGGAGGCCCACGCGAAACACCTCGCAAGCGCCTGGTAGCGCCCAGGAGCGCCCGCCCGGGAAAATGGGGGTCCTGGCCCTTAAGAAACTTACAAGCCCCCTACCTCTCAGGGCTGCATGCGCCTTGGGGCACTCCTCTTCGTGCCAGAGGCTCGGTGGCGGATATTAATAAGGAGCAGTGATCAAGCTACCCCAAGCCATAAGCCGTGTCGCTCGCTCCCACCCGCCCTCCTAACGCATAGGCAGCATCAGAGCCTGGGGCCCCGATACCACTGAGTTCATGAGTCCCGTCGGAGGCACACGAGCAGACAATATGAGGGCCCCCCCCGCCGCCCCTGTCAAAAGCCAAAGCACAGTGACCGCGAGGCGCGCGCGCATGATCCAGACTTTGCCGCAAAGTGCACTTTGTATTGTTTTTGTCAGGGAGCGAGCCTGCGCAGACCAGCCAATATCTGCTCGCATTGTCCTGGGTTTGTCGCCAGTCGGGTGGGTGAGGGGGTGTGTATCAATCAGGCACCGTGATGACCCCTCCCCGAAGGGGAAGAAGGGGATTGGAATAGGAAACTCGCTAAACCCCCTCCGCCCTGAGGGCTGGTGGGGTCCCCCAGCCCACGTGGATACGGTATGGCAGCGGAACAGAATTCGCGGACGCAAGAGGGTGCCTTAGAAAGCCAGCCCGCGCGCCATTCACCCTACCGCCCACCCGCACCCCATCCCCACCCATCCATCCATCCACCTGCTGTCGAACCCAACCGCTCACTCGCCAGTCGTCCACCCACCCAGTCTTCCGCCTGTCCGCCCGCCCATCTTCACCTCGTCCTCCCGGTGCTGTTCATCCTTCTCCCACCTCTTTGTCTGAGGAATTGGGGCCTGAGGGTCCGTAATGCTTGCTTGGCTCAAGCCAAATGGATTCGCGTGATGGAGTTTGTGATCGTCTCGGCCTATAGGCAGCCAGTATTGTTTGCTTTGCTCATTTTTGCGTGTGCGCGCCATCATTTCGACACATCTTTCTGTTTTGCCCTTGTTCGAGGACGGGAGCCGCGCATCCGTTGGTCCTGATGCTGATTCAGCGAATGTCCCCTGGTGCAGAGTACCGATAATGATCCAGCAATGCTTTTTCACTATCAGGAGGACCGCGCTGAGCTGTGCCCATCATTGGCCCTACCATCGACAGGTTGCTCCATGTGGTGGAGCGCAGCTCTCGGCGCTGTTCTGTTCGTTCGTCAGTTCTTGGAGGGGGCCACCGAGTGGACCTGCATTCAGCGAGGCTCTTGCAGCGTATCGCATAGAGTCTGAAGCAGGTCCTCTGGCGCGGCATTATACCTACGCGTTGCGCGGGTCGCAGACAGGACTTTGGTACATAGGTTCCAGGACGTGTCCGAATTCAGTTTCATCGCCAGAGACAGACACAAGTTACATGGGTTTTTCAAGTGATTCGCAATTCAAGCAAGAGCGAAAACACAAGTTTATATTGACGAAGCATAACACGCGCGCTGATGCTGTGAAGGCGGAGTGCTTCTTCCATGCATTTTATAATGTAGCTGCCAATCGTGAGTTTGCCAGACGGGCACGGCAGACCTCCACCGGATTTGATCGTCAGGGGGTGCAGCACAGTGAAAGCACGAAACGAAAGATGAGCGAGGCTAGGCGTGGTGGCCGAAGTCCTTTCCTTGGAAAGAGCCACAGCGACGAGACAAACAAAAAGATGAGTGAGGCTTTGCGTGGTCACCGCCATCCTTTCTTCGGGAAGAGCCACAGCGATGAGACAAAGAAAAAAATTAGCGAGGCTAGGCGTGGTGGCCGAAGTCCTTTCTTTGGACAGAGCCACAGCGATGAGACAAAGAAAAAAATGAGCGAGGCTAGGCGTGGTGGCCGAAATCCTTTCTTTGGACAGAGCCACAGCGATGAGACAAAGAACAAAAATGAGCGAGGCTAGGCGTGGTGACCGAAATCCTTTCTTTGGACAGAGCCACAGCGATGAGACAAAGAAGAAGAAGATAAGCGAAAGCATGCGAGGAAGGAGCCTGAGCGAGGAGACGAAGCAAAAGATAAGTGCGGCCCTGCGAGGGAAGACCATCAGCGAGGAGACGAGGCGAAAGATGAGTGAGGCTATGCGTGGTGACCGAAATCCTTTCTTCGGAAAGAGCCACAGCGATGAGACAAAGAAGAAGATAAGCGAAAGCATGCGAGGAAGGACCATCAGCGAGGAGACGAAGCGAAAGATGAGTGAGGCTAAGCGTGGTGACCGACGTCCTCCCTTCGGAAAGAGCCACAGCGATGAGACAAAGCAGAAGATGAGCGAGATCATGCGAGGAATGACCCTCAGCGAGGAGACGAAGCAAAAGATAAGTGCGGCCCTGCGAGAAAGGACCCTCAGCGAGGAGACGGAGCGAAAGTTGAGTGAGGCTATGCGTGGTGACCGCCATCCTCTCTTCGGAAAGAGCCACGGCGATGAGACAAAGAAGAACATGAGCGAGAGCCTGCCTGCAAAGACCCTCAGCGAGGAGATGAAGCAAAAGATGAGGTCGACCCGACGAGGAAAGGATATCAGCGAGGAGACGACGCGAACGATGAGTGAGACTAAGGGTGGTGACCGACGTCCTCCCTTTGGAAAAAAACACAGCGAGGACACACGGACAACTATGAGGGAGACACAGCGAGGAAGGACCCTCAGCGAGGAGACGAAGAAACAGCGAGACCCTGCGAGGAAGGACCCTCAGCGAGGAGACGAAGCGAAAGATGAGTGCGGCCCGACGAGGAAAGACCATCAGCGAGGAGACGAAGCGAACGATGAATGAGACTAAGCGTAGTGACCGACATGCTCTCTTTGGAAAGAGCCACATCCAGGAGACAAAGATAAGTATGGGGGAGACCCGGTGAGCAACGACCCTCAGCGAGGAGACGAAGCGAAATATAGAGGCTAGGCGTGGGGACCGGAAACCTTTCTTTGGAAGGCTCCACGCTGAAGAGTCAAAGACAAGTCTACGCGGGGCCTGGCGAGGAAAGACCCTCAGCGAGGAGACAAAGCAACATATCAGTGAGGCTATGCGTGAGGACTGAAAAGGTGCACCACGCTGAGGAGACAAAGCAAGATACCAGTGAGGTTCGACGATGGCGTCGACCTCCCTTTTCAGGAAAGCTCCGTGCGAAGGAAGCGACAGACAAGACAGCCGACGTGCGGGCAGCAGCTCTGATTAGACGAGGCAACGTACAAACCAGGCTTCGCGCGGAAACCGAAGGAGCGGCCGAGTGAGTGAGCCCTGTGCGCGCGGGGCTGGCGCCCTCTCCTCTCGTGGAGGGCGGCGCGCGCAGGAGGCGGGGCTGAAGGGCACGAGAGCGGGGCCGCGCGAGGCGCGATCGGCGGCCCCTGCCTCGGGAGCTGGCCGCGCCGAGGAGGCCGAGCGCCCCGCCGATCCCCGGGGGCCCGTAGCTCCGACATCCCTGGCCGCCGGCGGCGCGGCGGCGGCAGAGAGCGCGAGCGGGCCCCCCGTGTGCGAGCGGAGCGGGGCCTGCCTGCTGCAGGAAGAGAGGGGGGGGGAGCTGGGGCCCCAGGGGGCCCTACTGAGCCCAGGGTGAAGTCGTGCAGGCCCCGGGGGCGGTTTTTGGATTTTTTGTTGTCGTTTGTAAATGTTGGCTTTTCGTCCAAAATCCGCCTGCAGGAGGACACGCCCAACCTAAACCCAGGGGCCCCCAGCTCAGCCGACGCGCGGAGGCGGCGAGGGACGAGCGGGCCCCCGTGCGCGAGGAGCGGCGCCCGAGGGCGCGCGCCGCGCCGCGCGCGCGCGCGCGCGCCCCGCGCTGCTCTCTTGCGGCGCCCCGCGCGCAGCTCGAGCGGGCTTCTGCGGCTCCGACCGCTGCCGCCCTCGGAGCCTCCGTCGGCCGGCCTCCGTCGGCCGGCGGCGGCCTTGGCAGCGCCAGGCACGCAGCCGCGCTCAGCGCACAGCGCCGGCCTCTGGCAGCTCTCTGCAGCTGGGCCACCGCGCCGCCGCGGCGCGCGGGGGGGTTGGCCCGCGGCGGGCCCTGGGGACCTGCACGGGAGCCACAGGAGGCCTTTCGGACCCTTCTGGAGGCCTCCTCAGACCCCTCCAGATATCCAGGCGACAAAGCAGCACAGTGACGGTTGTTTTTTTGGCGTTTCGCCCTCGTGAGGCCGCTTTCCAGCCCTGGGGTCGTCGAAAGACGACTCAGGATGAACGCCCAGCCCTGGGGAAGGGGTCGGGGTCCGTGCGAGCCCATGTCACGAAAACTCTGCAACGTCGGAGGCATTGAATCCGACGTATGACAGAAAAATAGGGCCGAGTTTTTCCAGCATTTTCGCATCCCGGGGCTCGTTTTTGGGCTCCTCGAAGAAGGGCCCAGGTCGAACAGCCAGCCCTTGGGAAGGGGTCGAGTCGGGGATCGGCAGAGCTCTCTCTCCCTGCCAGGTCGCTCTGCGAATCCGCCCATGGGTCCGCTCTCTCGGCCTCCCGAGAGGCCGCTGCGCCCGCCAGTTGTGCGGGCCTGCGCCCGCGGCGTTTGGTCCCCGGACCGTTCTCACCAAGAGGGGTTCCGCCAAAGGGGACCTGTCCACCCCGGGTCGACAGATCCGGGGCCCAGGTTTTTTTCGGGCCTGTCCCCCTACAGGGGGATTTTCGACGAGAAATCAAAAATGCCCCAAAAATGTTTCAAAAAGGTAAAAAAAATACACCCAAAATAGTCCCCAGACTAATTTTGGATTATTTTTTGGCTATTTTTGGGGTATCTTTAATTTTTCGTCGAAAATCCCCCTGTAGGGGGACAGGCCCGACGTAAGCCCAAGGTGTCGAAACAGCCGCGGCGCCGGAGGTCTGGGCCCAGAGCTTCCCCGAGGCGTCTGGAGGTCCCACGGGGCGGGTGCTGCAGGAGAGGCGTCCTTGGCCCCGAGGTGTCCCCAGGATGCCCTCTGGAGGCCCACGTGGGCCTCCAGAGCACCTCTCACGAAGACCAGAGGGCCCCATGGGCTTCAACATGGCGCGAAAATCTTGGCCCAAGGGACGCTTTCAGCACCCCCTCAATGAGACTTCCAGTGGTCCTCGGAGGCCCCCAGAGGCCTACATGGGCAGAAGAAGCCCGCAAAAACCTCGAGGTGGTGGGAACCTCGATCCCCAGACCCTCGATGTCGTGTTTGTTTTTCGCAGCGTGGACTCGGAGGTCTCCACTGCTTCCCTGGAGCCGGCCCTTCAAACCCGAGCAGTTTGTTCTGACGGCCCCAGGGCCTGGCAAAGGGCCCCCAGCCCGAAATCGGCTCGGAAACAGTTGGACTCCAGGAGGTCTCCACCGCTTCTCCAGGGCTGGTTTCTCATCCCGAGCCGTTTTTTTGACGGCCCCGCGGCAAAGGCCCCCCCAGAGCCCGAACACGGCCCAGAAGCCCTCCGTAACGATTTTCTTCAAGGCGGGTGGCCTGGTGTGCGGGGTGCCACGACAAGACAAGCTGGGCACCGCAGATCGCCCCCCCGCCGCCATTCTTGTAGGGTTCGGCGCAAGGGAATCCCGACTAGGCCAGGTTTGGCGGCGTTTTTCCGCTCTGCCTGCATCGCTCCCTCCTCCGAGCCTGCATCGCTCCCTTCTCCGCGGTCTGGCCATGGTTTCCCTCCTCCTTGCGGGAGGCCCCCGTGGACCTCCAGACGCTTTCGCAGCCCTCGTGGAGCGCTTTTGAGGCGCTCTGGGGCGCTCTTGGAGCGGTCTTGAGGCCCTCTTGGGCCCTGAGGCCCTCTTGGGCCCCTCTTGAGCTCTCTCGGGCCATTATGGAGCCACCTTGTGCACTCGGAGGCCCGTCGGAGGCGCAAAGGCGAGAGGGCAAATACCAGTTGTTGTCTCCAGGCCTTTCGGGCGATCTTGGCCCCCCCCCCCCCCCCCTCTCCCCGCGGAGGCCCGAGCCTCGAGCCTCGAGCCTCGAGGCCTCTCGACCCGGGAGCGCCGTGGCAGGACAAGCTGGGCACCGCGGACTTCCCCATGCCGCAGTTCATCCTCATCGGTGGGCGCGCCTGGCCGTCGCCGAGGGGAGCGCCCGTGTTGATTTTTTGCGCAAGGGATTCACTCCGCCGCCAGGCCGCCTCTGGGCAGGTTCGCCCCAAGAGCGTGCAGGTTCGCCGCAGGTTTGCCGCAGGTTTGCCCACAGGTTTGCCCACAGGTTTGCCCACGTCATCGGTATGATGCTCGACGCCCTCGTCGTCGTTGTCGTCGTCGTCGTCGTCGTCGTCGTCGTCGTCGTCGTCGTCGTCGTCGGCATCGCCATCTGCATGGCAGCTGGCATCACTGTCCGCGACGTCGCCGCCGCCGACGCCGCCGCTGTCGTCGTCGCCGCCGTCGCCGACGAGCGGCGCAGAGCAGCGGAAGCCCGAGTCCGTTGGGAAAAGCACAGGGTCCGCAGACAGACATAACAGGAGGACTCAGACGGAGAATGGCCATGAAACGTTGGTGAGGGAGGGTGGATTAGTTTGGCGTCGTCGTGGTCGTGGTCATGGTCGCGGTCATGGTCGTGGTCGTCGTCGTGGTCGTGGTGGTGGTGGTGGTCGTTGTCGTCGTCGTCGTCGTCGTCGTCGTCGTCGTCGTCGTCGTCGTCGTGGTCTTCTTCGTCGTCGTGGTCGTCGTGGTCGTCGTCTGCGTGGTCGTCGTGGTCGTCGTGGTCGTCGTCGTGGTCTTTGTCGTGGTCGTGGTCGTGGTCGTGGTCGTGGTCTTTGTCGTCGTCGTCGTCGTCGTCGTCGTCGTCGTCGTCGTCGTCATCGTCGTCGAAGGGCCCAGCCCCGTGCGGCTGTATGTAGCGCAGGGCGCGGCCCTCTCTTCAGACGCTGCGCGCTGGGGTGCAGGGCGGACGTGGGGGCTGCGGAGCAGGCGCGCAGAGGCGCGATGAGCTCCCCGCGGGGCGCGACCCACGCGAGGGCCGTGCCGCGTCGGGCGCGGGCCCGGCAGGCGGCCGCGCCCACTGGGGGCCACGGGCGACAGCTCCGCTTGGGCGGCACGGTCCGCCAGTGGTGCGCCGACGTGGGCCCTGGCCCGCACGCGAGCACCCTCGTCCGCGCGGTGGAGCTGGAGCTCCCTGAGGGGCATGGCATGGCCTTCGTGCCGGAGTGGGCGCGGCGCCGCCCTGCGGGCTTGTCCTCCGCGGCTGCAGGTGGAGCTCCCTGTGGGGCACGGTGAGGGGTGCGCCGAATTGGGCGCGGCTCCGCCCTGCGGTCTTGCTGACCTGGTGCCGTGGGTGGATCTCCCTGTGGGACATGATCCATCTGAGGGGTGCGCCGAAATGGGCGCGGCGCTGCCATGCGGGCGCGCTCGCTGGGGCCGTGGGTGACGCCCCCTTGTGGGTGTGCGAAAGGTGTGTGTATGGGTTGTGTGCCAAAGAGGACACGCAGACAGCACAGGAGGGTTGGGCAGAAGCAAAAGGAGCTGGGGGAGGAGGGGTCGGAGGAGAAGAAGGGAGACGCGCGGCGCTGTGGATTCAGAGCGAGGGCCCGACCACACAGGAGCGTTGTATACTGCGAAGTCGCAAGAGGTGGGTCAATCGATGCACATGCTTTTTGTGACACTTCATCGCGTCGGAGCTGGATCCATCCGAGCACGCGCTGCTGTGCACGCGACTCCGTGGAGCCGCAATGCTCTTGAGTCTTGGTGGTTTGTGGAACGACACGACGCGGTGTGCTGACCGGTCGCGGCGGGCCGGGCCCCCGACGGCGCACGGAAGCTCGCCTGGGCAGACCGAGTGATGTTGGCAACGCGGACACGACATCGGTCTGCGGAGCTATGCCAGAAACCGACGAGGACAGCGACAGCGCCAAGGACGAGGGGGGTAGGGGGGGAGGGCGCAGGGTTGGGAGGGGCACGGGGGAGCGGCGGGGAGAACGGGCAGTCTGGGAGCAAGGGCAGGCGGGGAGGCCGGGAGGGGACGGGGGCTGAGCCGCAGCCGCGACGCTGCGCCCCGCCGCGCCCCCGCCGAGGTGGGCAGTCCGTGGGCAAGAGCCGGCTCATCGAGTCCCTCGCGGGAGGGGCCGCGCAGGGGAGGGGCCTGGCCAGGGGGAGGGACAGGCTCGGCGTATGCCTCCCGGCGACGCGAGGACGTCGCGGCGGGAGGCGTCGGGCCGCGTCGCAGAGCCCCAAAGGGGGCCCCCTGCCGGGCCGGTGGGCCGTCAGACAACGACTCGGGGCAGAAAGCTGGCCCCGGGGGAGGGGGTCGAGACCTCGGGGATGCCACGCTGTGGGCACCGTCGAGTCGTCGGGGCGGTGGGGAGACCGCTCACGGCCTCGCAGGTCCGGCCTCCCCGGCCGCGGCCACCTGGATGCAAGTTGGCTCTGAGCCGAAGCGCTGCGCGGAAGGTAATCCAGGGGGCCACGTATCCATGGGATCACGCCGCGGTGTCCAGACCGCGATAGTGTAGATATGCACCTGCTCGTCGTTCGTGAGAGGAGGCGGCCGGTCCGTCGTCTGAAGCGATCCGGAGCGTCGTGGAGAATCAGAGCCAGACCTTCCCTCGTCGTATTGTGTGCGGCATCCCTCGAGCTGGCTCTATTCTTG